GGTAATATAATTATTATATATATTTTTATAGCGGCTTGGACATACCAAAATGAGAGGGATCCAAAAATAGTATAAGTATGAGATTGTATAGTTGAGGATAACTTAAATGAATTATTTTGTACTACTTATACTAATAATATGCATTTGCTTTTCGGTATCTTATCTCATCAGAACTCCACATTTAAGCGTGCTTGACTTGGAATAATATAAGGATGAGTGACCTTTTGGGAAGTTTCTTAGAAAATGTGCAGTAAGGACAAAACACATTGAAAAGTGAAGTATCATGAAATAGCATCCTTGAGAGGCCAAATATGAGGGTTGTTACATTAATAAATTTATTAAAATTAAACAAAAAAATTTCGAAGGTTATCTACGGAAAAAATCCGTAAATAACAACTTTCGTGAGTTATCTATGGAAAATTTTCCATAGGTAACGTTATCTACGGAAAATTCCGTAGGTAATGTTATCTACGGAAAATTTCGTAGGTAACGTTACTTACGGAAAATTCTATAGATAACGTCCGTAGATAATGTTACTTACGGAAAAAATTTTGTAGGTAACACTATCTACGACCTTATTACGTACGAATTTTTTTCCATAGATAATCCGTAGATATATAATTGACAGTTACCTACAGATTTTCATGCTTATCTACGAATTTCTTCCGTAGATAATCCTGATTTTTCTTGTAGTGATTCATGGTGCTTGACGTTTCATTAGACTCAAACACACACTGAAAGAAAGTTCAACAAGTTGTTATCTCGCCTAAATGTTGAGTTGAGATCTGACATGGAGGATGCCTTAGATTAGCTTTTGCTAATACGAAAAAGGGGAGAGTAATTAAGTCTTAAATATTTTATTATTTTGCTTAAATTTTTTTTAATGCTTAGATTAATTTTTTTTTCTCTAAACAATATGCTCTAATTAGTATACATTGTATTTGCTATGATTTAAGCTAGTTATATTCATCAAATCATGCACATTTTTATGGGGAGTCCCCATGTATTGCATATAATACCTAAGGTAGATGCATATGGTTTGATTATATATGCTTTGACATCTAAGATAGAAATATATGCTCTGATACACTTCAATATGCTTAGATATGCATAATAAGAAAGAGATAAAAACAAGCATGCTATGTCATATATAAAATCTCTCTTGTATGGTTTGATTTAGGTTTTAAATGCAAAGTCTATATCTCATAGGATCTGTACGCACACTTAGTTTAACATGCTCAAAGGATCATTAAATATCATTTTAACTGACTTGATATAATAGCTTAGTTGGTCTCAAATGCTATTTTCGAATGATGACATAACTAAATAAATGTGAGACGATACACGTCTTTAAAAGAATGTACTCGTAAAAATCAATTTGCTTGAATGATCTTACAACGCCTTAGATGTGTGCCTTACATCACTATGATAAAAACATATCCAAATTGCTTCTATGTTTTTAAGAAAAATGTCTTAGGCAATTGAAAAGTTTTGTTTTCTTCAAGGTTGAAAAATGGCAAAATTTTTTGTTAAGAAAATTACCTTTTGAAAGATAACAACATTTCAAAAAGACAAAAATCTTTTTTTCTTACCAAAGCAAAATATTTCTAAGACAAAGAAAAATGGACATTTCAAAAATACAAAAACTTCTTTATCATCATTAAAAAGGATGAGATTGTTAAGTCAAAAGACAATCTTGGATCCCTTGAACTTAGAGTTTTAATGCCAACAAACAAAATACTTTTATAAGAGAAAATGTATTCAAAAATGTCTTTGAAAAATATCTTTGAAATCACTTATTAAACAAAGTGTAAGATGCAGATCAAGTATAAAATGATATAAATTAGACGAAGTATAAAATCTATCTCATAAACATTAAATGCTTATTATTTATTAAAACTAACGAAAAAAACTTCTTGAAGGTTTCATTCTTTAGCAGATCGAAAAAAGATTATCTTGGAACTCACAAATTTGTTAAAAGAGAACAAGATCATATTTTTCCTTAAAACCAAGAACAAAGATACCTAAAATCACAGAGAAAAGTAGATAAAGTCACTACTACTACTGCATTGCATTAACATTACTTCTACAAACTCTATTTGGTATGAAAAGTTGATAAGTATCCTCCTTAATCAAATAAGAGATACCATTTGATGAAATGCATTTAATGTTCACATTAAATGTGTCAAATAGTTACTTGCCATCATAAGGAAAGACGATGAAGATAGACGAAGTAAACTTGTGAGCTGGACTCAAAATGTTGCAACGGTCATATCGATACACTTGTACATAAACATACTCTTTGTAAATTTATTCTTTCTTGTAAACAATCATTACTCTATACTGGTTGTATAACGTCTAAGTGAGACGAACACAACACGTGTAACCTTCATAACTATTGTTATAAAGAGCTTGGAGAGGTTTGTTTGAAAAAGAATATTTGTTCTGAGCTTGGAAAAGGTTGATTATAAAAGAATACTTGGTTGTTAAACCTAGAGAAACTTGTTGCTTGAAGAGACAAGTCAAAGAATACTCAAGGTTGAAGTAAAAGTGATTTGTTGAAAGAATACTTGTATTTTTGTTTAAAGATAGTGAAACTCAATTTGGTTGGATTAATAACTGGACATAGTCTTGATAGTTGAGACGAACTAGTATAAAAATATCAATGTTTAATTTAACTATACTATTCACATGTCATGTGACAAAAGCTACTACTCCACTACAAAAAATGTACGTGCGAGTTTTGATACACACTATTCAACCCCCTACTAGTGTTTATCTTTTCTCCACACAGACACACACACACATATATATATATATATGAGGGATCAAATGACTCCAAGAGTAACTCTTGAAAAATATTTGATACTTTGTTTCGTTAATTCAAATTAATAGATAAACATAAAAATATTTTATACAATGATTTGCATTTATATAATGAAACATCAAATAATTTTCAATTTTTTTAAGTTTTGAAAACTTGATCTATGCATTAAGAATTTTTAATTTAATGGTTGAACGTTGAAATTTGATTTACAACATGTGTTATTGAGTTAAATAAGTTTAGGTAGACTTACTCTTAGAGTAAATGGATCTCTCCTCATATATATATATATATACATATATATATATATATATACATACATACATACATACATACATACATATTATATATATATATATATATAAGACCAAAAGCATTTCTTTTTTAACAGAAAGTTTGAAAATATATTTTAAGAGATACAAATTTACATAAGGTGAAAACTAATGTGAGTTGCCTATAGCATATAAGCTAACTAGTTAAGTTATAAGTGTTTGACATAATTAGTCAATATTAGTATGTTTAGGGTTTAGGGTTTAGGGTTTAGGGTTTAGGGTTTAGGGTTTAGGGTCAATAAAAGTAAGATGACATACTAATATTGATTAACGCAAGGGATAATAACTTGTGTCTTTGTCACATTATCCGTGTGGTTCAAATCATAATTTTGTATATAAATGAAATATACTATATTCGAAGAGAAATATTTATCTTGTGTGCACTTTACAAAGATTAGTCATTACTTCTAATAATAAATACCTGATCTATTATTGTGACCTAACTTTGGTTGACTTGTTTATTAAAAAATTTGGACTTACGCTTTTTAGAAAGTCTATTTAAATAAAAAGTTTAGACTTTTATAAAGTTTAGTAAATTTGATAAGACAAGCTTTATGAATTATTATTAATTTATAATTATTAATATAAATTATTAATATTTATTAATTTAATTTAATACTATCTCTGATTATAATTATAAGCAATAATTATTAGTTTTTATTTTTTAAAATTATTTTAAGTTAAATTTCTTTTATATCCTTCATTTATTAATAATTTACTTATAACTAACATTAAATATATCGATCACTTAAAATAAATAATATATTTGAAATAGAACTTGAATTTATGGTATGATTAATTAAAACTAATCATATTACTTACTTCTCTTGATGTTGATGATTTATCGTATATTGCTTATAATTAGGATGAGATAATATTTATGTTTAATATATATAATTATTAATTACTAATATAATGTATTTAATAATTAGTTCTATTGACTTATTTATAAATTTTATACAAAATGGATATTGAAAATTGACTTTTATATTAGACTCTTAAATTGACTTTTATATTAGACTCTTAAATAGGTCAAACCATACTTTAATAAAAATACCTATAATAAATAAATAAATCAGAATCAAACTTAATAATTTTGTTGTGTTGACTAACAAAGTTTGATCTTCCATGATTTCACCCCACTAATAACTTATAAGCTAGCATGCTATGAAAATAAGTTAAAAATTATTAAAATAAGTTGTTATATCATATCAAATAAAATTATTTTGGTCAAATCATCTTATATGTTCTTTCAATTAATATCTTGTCAAACACATTTAATGTAATTCATATTTTTATACTTTTCTTTTATTTATGGTGTTTGGTAAAACTAATATAAGCTTGTTAAAACATATAAGCTACATGCTAAAATTTTTGAGCTAAGTGATTGAGTTGAAAATGTTTTTTAAAATTAATTTAATGATTGCACAGCATATTATCATATTCTCCATAATGAAAATTTTTTCTTACCTTCTTGTACCAAAAAAAATATTCTCTAAAATTGAACCTTTTATTATTATTTTAATATCTCTCTTTGGAAGGAGAGTTGGTGTAGATGTATAAAAATTTAAGTTTGATCTTTAATACCATTGTTATAATATTTTTTTATTAATAAAAAAAACTCTTTCCATTTTTTTACCCTCTTTCATCCATTTTTATCTCTCATATTAAATGCAATGTATGCATCTCAGATTATTGCCAGAAATATTTTTTTTGAACAAATTAAATATACTTATGCATCCTAACACTCATAGATGTATATATATACACACATGTGTGTATGATATATTCATCCGATCTAGTGTTCCATATACTGTGTAGTGAACATCATCATGTTGACAGTGTTGTGTTATGTCGTGGCTTTGACGTTATGTGCATTCTTTGCAGTGCTGAAATGGAACAACATGAGGTACTCAAAGAAAGGAATGCCTCCTGGATCATTGGGTTTCCCTTTTGTTGGTGAGACTCTCAAATTTCTTAAACAAGGTCCAGATTTCATGAAAGGACGCAGATCAAGGTACGAATTAACCATATACATTCATATTAAAATGTTAAGCTTTTGCAAGTATAATCGTTAAAAGGTGTTGTTTTATATATACTCCTTTTCATTCTTTCTTAAATCACTAAAATACTTTGGCAGTGCTTATTTTTAAATAATTCCTGGACACATTCTTAAATGTTAATGTGAAAAGCCATTAGAGAAGAAAAGTTGAAGTAGTAGACACAAAATCATAAACTTCGTTAGACATGAAGTAATTTATAATTATTAACCAGAGAAATTGTTGGATAGATGCAAACTCAACACGTCATCGTTATATTAGAAAATTAAGGACTAAAAAAACTTAATTTAGTTTATTTAATTTAATTTCTTCTAATGAAAATATGATATAATTAGTTTTAAGTGGTTGAAATGAGAGAAAGATAAAAGAGAAGGGGAATAATTTTAATAGAGGAAAGAGAAGAGAAAGGAAGGAATTAAAATTTTTGTTTATTTAGAAAAAAAAAAGAGAGATATTTTAATGGAGGAGGAGGGATGCAACTTTTTTTGTTTGGTTAACAATGAGAACATAAAAGTTTTAAAAATTAATTTATTTTTCTATTCTTATAGTTTTGAATTTATAAAATTATATGTTAGGATGTTTTAGATATTATACCGAGAATGATTTAAATCTTTTGAATTTCATATTTTTTTAGGCAGACTTGTGTTGAAGATAAAATAAATTATTTAATCTCATTAGAAATTTTTTAAAAAGTTAATAGTTGACTATAATTTTACATGAGATTGTGTTTTGTTGTAAACTTTTATAAAACTTCCTCCATTATATATATTATATCAAGATATTTTTTTCATAAATTAGAAAAATTAATTTTTGCAATATAAATATTATTATAAAGACTAAAACATCATTGAATGTGTAAATTTTTTTGAGAATTTTCAATTATGACCATAAACTAACAAAAATTGTAATTGGATCTTTGATCTATTACAATTTTTATAATTTGGTCCCTAAATTTAGAAAAAAATCACCACAAATTGATACTTTTGTGATAAATTGAAACTGTAAAATATTAACTACAAGGACTCGATCACAAAAAAAAATATAAATAATTAAAAACTTAATTATATTTTTTTTATGTTTAGGGATCTAATTAAAATTATAATTTTTTTATGTTTAGGGATCTAATTAAAGTTTTTCAAAAAACTTAAGAGGTCGATTGATATATTAAATATATTATAAAAAAAAACTAGGTTTTATAATATATGTGAAAAGACAAAAAATAAAAAGATTAAGATGATCTAAAATGACTTTTTTTGAGAATAAAAGATTTAAATATGTTTTAATCTTTGTAAAATGGTTGACTTTTGATTTTATTCTCAGTAATTTTTTTAATCTTTTTAAAATTTGTGAACATTGTTTTTAATCATTGTAAAATTAGAAAATTTTCATTTTGATCTTATAAATTATTTTTCTTTAATTTTCATCTTTCTAAAATTTAAAATTACTATTTTTAATCTTAAATGACCATTTAAAAATATATATAAAATACTTATTTTAAAGATTTATAAGAAAACTAGAAGTATCACTTACATGTATAAATATAGTATCCTAGACGGATACCACTTGAGATAACTAGTAAATACTTCCTCTAAAAAATACTACCTGACAAAGCTTTTTAAGTCACATTGATAAGCCTAGAGTAGTTTATTCTAAAAAACTAGTAAATATTCTTGGAGTTAAGACTTCCTCCAAAATTGTCGTGTATTATTTGTAAGATTGCAAACTTTTATAATTTTAAATTAGTTGAGAATGAAACTAAACCTAGCTATATTCTTTATGAAGATCAAATATTAATTATCCCATATTTTTTTTTTCTCCTATTTATCTCCATCATGTAAATATAAAGCCAAACCTGTTCGCTTAATTATTTCTCATTTGCAGATATGGAAATCTTTTCAAAACTCACGCATTAGGGTCCCCTATGGTTGTTAGCTTAGATCCTGATGTCAATAGATACATACTCGTGAATGAAGCAAAAGGCCTAGTTCCTGGCTACCCCAACTCCATGAGGGAGATACTAGGCACTAACATTGCTGAGGTTCATGGTGCCACGCATAAACGAATTAGAGGCTCACTATTATCTGTCATTGGTCCAATTGCAGTTAAGGATCGTATTTTGCCAAAAGTTGATGACTTCATGAGGTCTTACCTTCACAGTTGGGATGGTAAAACAATTGATCTGCAAGAAAAAACTGTAGAGGTATGTAATAATCATATAAGTGTTGAGTTGATTAAGCCCTTTAAAGCACTTTTTTTTAAGAAGATTGAATTCGTTCTATTTTGAATCATGTTAATCTGTCAAAGGAACAATCAAAAGTTTAATTTCATAAAACAATCACACTTGTACATTCTTTATTGATTTGTTTTTCTTTTCAGATGGCATTCTTTATTTCCATGAAAGCGGTTGTAGAAAATGAGCCAACCTCTTTCCTCAAGTCCTTTAAAGCTACATTTGATAACATGGCATTAGGAACAATATCTTTGCCAATTAAAATTCCTGGAACGGATTACTTTCGAGCACTTAAGGTATGTAATTTATAGTTATTCAAATATAAATTACCTCTAACCAAGGATAATGCAACGAATTATTTATATAATCTGTTCTCCTGTATATGAGTTTATGGTACTTGTACTTATATTAATATAAAATTCTTTTGTTGATGAAAAAAAAACCCTTAAAGGTATGTATATCTAGAATACTTATTTCATGGTTTTAAGAAATGGTTGATGACTGAAATTTCATTAGAGTAGTAGTATTGCAATTTCATCAATCACGTTTGTTCACAATTTTTCATAATTAAAGATCACAGAAAAAATATAATTGTGACCTCAATTTAAAACTCGACTAATTTTAGTATTTTTTTTTTTTAACATTGCACATAAAGTTCACATTGGAGCACTTTTGTTGATTACAGGCTAGGGAAAAAGTGGTTCCAATACTAAGAGAGCTCTTAGCCAAGAGAAGAGCTTCTTCGACTACTCATGATGACATTCTTGATCATTTTTTGAAAAATGAGGATGGAGGACACAAACTTGATGATGATGAAATAATTGAACAAATAATCACAATCTTGTATTCAGGTTATGAAACGGTATCAACTACTACAATGATGTCTATCAAATACCTATATGATAACCCAAGTGTTCTTGAGGCAGTAAGGGTGCGTTATATATAGCTTTCTATCTAATTACACTCTTTAGAATTAAAACCATGGTTTAATTTTGAAGTATTTGTTTTATGATTTTATTTCTTCCACAGGAAGAGCATTTTGCAATCCAGCAAAAGAAAATGCCTACGGAACGAATCAACTGGGATGACTACAAGAATATGAGGCTAACTCGTGCGGTATACATTTATCTATAAGGACTATAGATTGAGAATGAAAATCAAATGATGATCTTAGAAAAGTTCAATTCATTGCACACCCCAAAGTTTGAAAGGTAGAAAAAAAATGAAAATGTTTTTGTGTGTGTGTAGGTGATACTTGAAACCATGAGATTAGCTAATGTTGTTGCTGGAGTGATGAGGAGGACCACTAGTGATATAGAATTGAATGGTACGTTTTCAAATTTCAATCAAATCGATAGGAAATAACTTAATTTTAGTTATTTTGTCATTATAGGTAATGTATATTCACGTTATTGCTCAAGTCAAGATTGAGTTTCTGTTTGAATATAATTAATTTATAAAAGTTATTTATTTATTTTTCGTGTTATATGTTTTAACATTTTTAATATTATTCATTTATTAAGACTAATTATATATATATATATATATATATATATCACTTTTTAGGCTTTATCATTCCTAAGGGATGGAGAATTTATGTCTACACAAGGGAGACTAATTTTGATCCCATCCTTTATCAAGAACCTTTTACTTTTAATCCATGGAGATGGCTGGTTAGTTGCTTGATAATAGCAAACTTCATTTTTTTTCTTGTGTGTATAATGACTACTACACTTTATATTGAATATAAAATATTATGTAATGTAGGAGAAAGGCTTGGAGTCTCATAATCATAACATGCTATTTGGAGCAGGAGGCAGGGTGTGTCCTGGAAAAGAATGGGGCATACTTAAAATCAGTTTTTTCCTTCACTACTTTGTGACTAGATACAGGTAAAGTATTTAGTATAGATTTTTTTTATAAATTATTTTATATCATAATTTTAAAAGTTGAATAAAGATGTAAATTTTAAATTTTAGTTAGAGTAATGATATTCAAATCAAAGAATTTTCCAAGTGGTTATTAAGGAGGTCTCCTACACTATATAATCTTAGTCATAATTGAGGATGATTATATAATCTGTAATGTGACACCCTCTACCCCATTATTAATATACAACAAATGTAACAATAAAATATTTCTTTTCTTCTTTTTGGGTAAATAAAATCTTTCATAGTTGACAAATATTTCAAATATAACAAGGTAGAAGATTCACATTCGTAACTCATAAATCATAACTCCAGTGTAAAAATTATAAAAGAAAAGAAGTTAAGATTTTCAATACAATTTAGTGTAAAACAAGAAATCATATATATACAAATAATAATAAAGGAAATATAAATTAACTCCAGTAAAGGTGGCAGTGCCTCCTGGTTAGGAATTAATTTATACTCCCAAATCATATAATAAAAAAATATAACAAAAATGTACATCTTGGTCTTTTATCAAGAACGTTCAAATTACAATTCTTAACATATATTTTCCTTGAATTATACATGTTATCTACGTTATCTCTTCGTTAGAAATTACAAAAGAAGAGAAACTAAAGTTATTAAAACAATAACATATTAAACTAAAATAACTATGCCCCGATGTCACATCCTATCAGAGCATGCCCAATTGAAGCCTTTAAGCCTCATCACCAACATCCTCATGATGCTGATCACCTGCAACATAATTTAAACATATACAAAAGCAACAAGGGAGTGAGAAACATCTCACTCAGTTTCAGGTGCAGAAATAAAGGTTAGATAGCACCCACACACACACAACAAATATAAGTCACATATAAACAATACACATACATCATCAATATCACATATATACTCATTTATCATGCAATGATGTCATGAACTCGACTCATAAATGCATGCATGTGGCGCCATAAGGAAGTTTCACATATCATCACTGGTGACCCTAAGGCACACCTGGTTACATCACTGGTGACCCAAAGGTACACCTGGTTACATCACTGGTGACCCTAAGGTACACCTGGTTACAAGTTACATCACTGGTGACCCTAAGATACACCTTGTTAGCATGTTACATCACTGGTATGCGGCCTCAGCGGCACACCTGGAATAATATATGCATATGATGCATGTCATACCATCATAATCTCATTGACTCAATATTTAACTTTTTACATGATTTCATTTAGTACATCATGTCCTCATTTGTCATAGTCTCATAATCATAGTTTGTCTCAATAGTCAATTCTTAGGTCTCATGTCATTTGTCCATATTTCACATGGTCATGTCATCAATACTCCTCTTAAGGTCCGCATAGGTATTCACAGAGATCCAGAGAGCATTCTTATTCATATTAAAACTCATTTATTATTAACATTAATTTCATATTCATTTATTACTTTCAACAAAGAACAAAGTAGAGTGAATAGAAAATCAAACAGAACAACGGCACCTTCAACAAAGAGAAAAGTAGAGTAAATAGAAAATCAAGCAGAACAACGACACCTTCAACAAAGAGCAAAGTAGAGTAAATAGAAAATCAGACAGAACAACGACACCTTCAACAAAGAGCAAAGTAGAGTAAATAGAAAATCAGACAGAACAACGACAAGGGATTGGGGGCCAATCCGACAAACAAACTATCCAACAATTATCCCCACACTCCTGAGCGAGGTTTCTCACTCCCCCCTTACCTAGATAAGCAGGAGCTGGAACTTGGGCAGGGTCTCCTCTTCTGGATTCTCTCTTACTTCCCTCTCTTTCTTTCTTTCTTTCTTTCTTTCTCTCTCTCTCTCTCTCCTCTTTCTCTCTCTAAGATTTTACCTTCTCACTCAGTATATAATTTTCACCCCCCTGGCCCTATTTATAGGCAATCTGACGCACCCGGAACGGCCCGTACTGATTTCAGAACGTCCCGTTCCGAATCCTTCAAACATGGGCAAATTTCTTAACTGGAATGGCCCGTTCCAAAATCGGAACGCCCGTTCCCAAAAAGCAGAATGGCCCGTTCTGAAACCAGAACGACCCGTTCTCAATCTCAACAGAACGCTCCCGTACTGCTTCCAGAACGGCCCGTTCTCCATACCAGAACGGCCCGTTCCAGGCCCGTTCTGGGTCTTTAAAAACAAGCATATTTCTTTTTTTGGAACGGCCCGTTCTGCATTTGGAACGGCCCGTTCCGACACCCAGAAATACCCTTATTCCTTTATTAAAATTACGAAAATGCCATCAATAATTACGAAAATGCCATCTTTTAAAAAAACTGAGTGTTACATGTAAAATAGTACAATTTTAATTAAATGGAATCCCTTTTGTTTGTATTTCATGACTAACTAGGTCAGATAAGATTTTTTTTACTTTATTTTCTTTTATGTCATAACAAGGACTGGTATGTATTCAAATAAAATTATAATCACTAGCAAAAAAGAAATCACTTCTTACCTCTTCTATATATATATATATTAAAAAAATTACTCGATTAACTTTAAAAAAGTGAAATAGTCGAGTTAAATTAATTAAGAGAATATATAAAAAGGTAAAAAGAAAATTAAACTCCAATATCCAAATCAAAATATCTTTCTAAGAATATATCTTTCACTTTTCAGGTGGGAGGAAGCAAAGACAAACAAAAAGCTTTTGAAATTCCCGAGAGTGCTAGCACCGGAAGGACTACACGTAAGGATCACAAAGTACTAGAGAAAGGATATTGATTTTCAGAATTCAAATATTTGATCCATACCATGTCAAGAACTTGTATAAGAAGTTCTTACATTAAATTCAATGCGTTCTGAAATGTTATCTATTAGTAACTAGATATGAAGCCATGATGTGCGAGTAAACAATAGAACTATTTAAATTGGTGGTATAATAATTAAAAGGTATGTTGAAACATATTCTTTTATGATTGATTTAGTTTTAAATGTGATTTCTTTAAATTATAAAATGTAAGTTTATTATTACATCATAATTTTATGGTATATTCACATTTAATCTCTTTACTATAATCCAACATGGTGTGAAGTCCCACATCGGTTAGGAAGGAGAACGAAGCATGCCATATATATGGGTGTGGATACCTTCCTTGTGTGAACGCGTTTTGGGGTGGCATGCGTGCCATTGCCAAAAGCAAAACCGTGAGGGCTGCGGCCAAAGCGGACAATATCCACATGCGGGTTGCTGGGCTGTTACACATGGTATATACTTTTTGTAGAGATTTTATATTTGTCAGTAAAGTCTTCTTGAGTATATTTTTATTATTAGACATTTTAACACATGAATGAACAATATGTTAACAAAACAGAATGTACGAGTAAACTATATTCTCAAGTTTTGCGACAATAATAATGTCTCATAGAGTCATTACTCTTTTATTTAATTTTTCTTCTAAAGTGATATTTTTTGGTTAGATATATCTATTATTTTTTATTTAATAAAATGTAAGAAAAGCTTAACTAACGAAATTATTTAGAATAAATACATCCTAACTTCATATTTGAATGGATGAACTAATAATTTAAAGTAATTTGTTTCGTTGTCATTTTACATGTTATGTGACTTTGACTTTCAAATTTACCAATAAGTTTGTATGTACGTGTATTTCTAATGACCAATTTTAAGGAGCATATCGAATCAAATATAAAGGTTATCGTCTCTTTGCAACAATATAAAGAATTTGAAGGAATGGATTTTTAACTAGATGTTCATGTATTCTGATCAATTGCTTGACACAATAAACACTACAAAAAAAAATGCGTGATTTGTGGCAGTTATTTTGGTGGTTTCTGGCGGTTAAAAACCGCCACAAATTGCATTACCGGCGTCATTAATAACCGCCGGATCTACGGTCGCCAAAAACCGTTTATGGCGGATATTTTGTAAACGCTGGTTTTGTGCGCCAGAAAATTCAATCTCTTTCTGGCGGTTTGAAACCGCCACAAAATGCATTTTGGTTTGACTTGTTTGACATTTTCTGGCGGTCCAAAACCGCCACAAAATTGCAGCTCAGTTTGACTTGTTCATCATTTTCTGGCGGTTTTAAACCGCCATAATATTCATTTTAATTCTACCCAGTTCAACATTTCTGACAATTTTTAAACCTCCAGAAAATTATTATTATTTTTGGTTGTTTACATTTTCTGGTGGTTTTAGATTGTCATTTCTCGCATTTTCTAATAATTTTAAACCGTCAAAAATACAATTTATTTTACGGTAATTTTTTTTATAAATATATTTGGAATTATTTTAAAAGCACATTTTTATTATAAATTGACAAATAATATTCTGTATATTTTAGACATTTATCAAATTATTATTTAAAATTATCACTAACCATATTAATCATTAAAAATTAATAATGACTATATTATATTGTTATTTAATTCAAGTAACTTATAAATAAAAATTTTACTTGTCAAATTATAGGATCACTTATTTTAATAAATTATACCTATAATTATAATAATATTTATGTGTTTTGTATGTTTCTTGTTCAAATATAATTACTTAAAGATACATTAAATTAACAACTTTTAACATTATAAAAAAAAATCAAGCCAACATCTAGTCATAGGTCTAGCATGACATATTTTTTTATTATTAAGACATTAACATCCATCAATTTTAAAACATATCCAACATACTCAAAATCAAATTCATGATCAATGCTCAAAAGTAAAATATGTAAATTGTCCCAAAATTAATCTTGCTTCAAATATAAAAACATAGGTTCAAATTCATGAGTTCATCATGTCTAAAAAAAACAATAATAATGTCAAACTCCATAAACATTACTATCTAATGAAGATCCTCCTTGTGGTGTTGGCATGTCATGTCCACTCCCTTCATCCTATAAAATACAAATTGTTTAATGTTATCCTAGATAAGTAAATTAATTTACTTATTTAAGCCAATTAGTCCAATTTCTGTAGTAAATCAGAGCCTGCTGTGACAATGTCAGTAGATTCTTTGTCTCATAAGCATAAACATCTTCAATATCATAAAAGAATCATATGAATGCATACTTGCTTTATATATAGAATATATAACAATATTTTCTAATGGTAAAAAAAGAAGTTCAAAACAGATTATTGAAAAATAAGAACACAAAACTGCAAAGAAATGAATGCTCACTTTTAGAGGATTATGTTCAAAGCATAAACCATCACCCAAGGAAAGGTAAAAATGAAGAAAAGTAACAAAACATGTACTAAGGTTAATAACCATGCATGTCTTGTTGGATTAGGGGTACTGAATTAATCAAAATTAAAAATTTAGAATTTTTTTAAAATTAATTGCATTCAAAGAATTTTTAAAAAATTCACTTAAGAGTACGTTTGGTACACAACAATTTTTTTCATGTATAAGAATGATGATTTTCTAGAAATCATGATTCCTAGTATATATGAAAATTTGTTTTATTATCACAATTATTTCTAAGAATGTTTTTAAATACTTTCATTGAATGGCATGAAGTAATCACCAGCTGCTAAAAATATTTTAGATCCCTTAACAGCAACTAGGGAACAAAGGAACTGAAGGAGAAGGTGATAAGGATTAGAGTATTGTATGTGTAAGTATAGTTGGGGGAGATTTTCATTTGTTCAATTGTTTTTTAATTTTAAAATTGGAGAGAAAAATAGGCAAAAAAAAGAGGACAGAGGTACTAGCATAAGTTATATTTGCGGGAAATATTTTATTTATGTCATTATCTTTATTCCATTAGTTATTTAATCAATTTTTTGATTTTTTTAAATAGTCTTATTCTGCCATCAAACAGATTCTCCTTTAGTGCAGAAAATCTTTATTAGCAATTCAATGAAAACACTTTCACTGTTAGACTCATACTTTTAGTTGATAAGCTTTATTCCGCATGCACTAACAGGTATGCCAAAAAGAAATGTACAAAAAGAAAAACTATTTTCTTCTAGCCGAACATAAATAGACAAAATATGAATCATACCTACAATATGAATAACCATTGATGTGTTCAGTGATATCTCTATTTTCTAAAAGGCATTCAGTATATCATGTCAAATTCATACATACTAAGGAGTTCCCATGCTAAATCTGACTATACTTCAATTGAGCAAAATGAAAATTAAACTTGATCTCATCACCTAGCATGTATTAATGATTATGATCAATCAAAGTGAAATTTCAATGGAAATAAAAGTGTCAATGTACCTTTCCAGTTTTTTATCCACCACAGTTGAAATTTGCAGGCGCGGGAGAGCTACAACCCGGAGATAATCTATTCCTGTTAAGATAAATTATTCTCAATATAATCGATTAAAATAGGAACAACATTCATAGCTGAGAGTAGATTCTACAACTTGAAAATAAGATCAAATCTTTACATATTTTATCACTTTACTTAAAGTTTTAATCATGATAGATTAACTTGCTTCAAACACCTATATAACCTATTTAAGCCCTACAGAAAAGAACTTCTAAACAGATTGCTATATTTTAAGAAAACCTCTGTTTTAACTTTCATTAAACCTCTGTTTTTCTTCTCTGACAAGTCGATTGGGTAAGATTGAAAATTTCAAACAAAATGTTACAGAAATGCAATAGTTTCTCTATAAAAGAGCAGCACTCTAGTGTAATTACCTATTTTTTTTAGTGAAAACAGTGGTTTTTGAGGAAAAGTTTTTGAAAGATCCAAGGAAAAACTCTTTTAAAAAAGATTCGATTCACCACCCTTCTTGAATTATGTCATTTAATTCATCATTCACCACAACCCTTAAAAAAATGTTGATAAAATTTGTAAATAAAAAAAATGACACGCAACAACGTCCTTTTAGTGTAGGTACTCCCTTACGCACAATAATACCAACACTAATTTAGGCTCTTTATCGCATGAATCCATGATTATGATATTTTACGATGTAATAGAAAAACTCTCTTGAATCACGGTGGCTTTATTGCATCTGTGTGGTCTTTAGCAAAGGTTTCGGGGGTTGAGGGCATGAGGAGGAAGTGTTATAAATTGTAAAAAAAAAAAATGAAAGACAGAGATACTGAGGTCAAGTTCCTTTGAATGGAAGAAATACGGTAATCCATGAAGATTACAATTAGACAGCAAGTGAAGTCGGGGAGGGAGAGAGCATACGAAGGACTCAACAATGGCAAGTGTTCACAAGGTGGAGACATATATCTACGTTCTTCTTCTTGAGGTTCCTAGAGGAATATAAGGTGATGGACTTATATATGGAAAATTTTCCAAAGGTGGAAAAAAGTTTGGGAGGTCTTAATTAATTGCAAGTAGAAGGTTAGAAATTTTATTTCTAATAATTATTGTGGGCTACATATATTATTTGTAGTATTTATATTAGTTATTTATATTTAGTTGGGCTCAATAAAAGTGATCTAATTTTAGTGAGCCTTTAGACTGTCAACAACAAAAAAAACTGATATGGGCCCAAATAAGTGGAAATCAGATTTGGCCTGTTAGGGGTTAATGGGAACCCTAATAGGTTTAAAATCGTAAAGATGGTCATGGTCCCCAATATGCTAAATCAGAAACACATGTCTCTCTGTCTCCCCATGAGAAGAGTAACATCAAGTTCCATCAAGGAATCCAGTGATTTGGCTGAGGAAGATCATTGCACCAAAAGATTATTCCGCTGCACCCTTTTGATCAACATCAATGGATACAGGTACGTGTTATTAACATTAACTCTGTAATCTGAGACAAAGGTTCTTAATATTGATTAATGAATAATTTCTATTTGGCTTAAGAAATTTATCCCAACAAGTGGTATCAAAGCTGCCGTTGTTATTAGGTTATGGGGTTCTAAAGCGTATTGTTAGAAAATTTTTTCTTTCTTCATTGACAATACGTGTATTTGAATGCGTTGGTCGTTTTTTTTGCTTGAATTTGGTTTAATTGATTATACGGATAAAGAGATCGATTAAAAATTGAATTTTTCTTAAAGAGATTTTTTTTTGTATTGTGAAATTGTATAATTTTCTGTGAATGTTATATATTTATATATGTAACAATTTTGCAATGATCCAGAAGACATTGTCAAATGAAGAAATTTTTGATTTTTTTTAATTTTCTCACCGGAAGTGAGATAATTGTGCAACAATGCAATAAAGGAATATTTTCTCACCAGAAGTGAGTTAATTGTGCAACAATGCAATAAAAGAATATTTTCTTATCAAAAGTGAGTTAATTGTGCAACAATGAAATAAAAGAATATTTTTCTCATCGAAAGTGGGAAAATAATATGAAAAGTGAAAAGGAAAATGGTTGATAAAGACACAAATATAATATAAATATTATGTTTGATCCTTTGAGTACCACCAGAAGTGGAAATTCTTTTTTTGTCAAAATCATTGTTGTAATATTAAATGATATTTGGGAAAATTATATGATCAATATATTAAATTCCACATTATCAAATTTTTAATGGCATTTACGTAAGAATTATTTTCTTGAAATTTGATTGATATTATGTTCAAATTTAAAATTGATATTTTTTATATATCAAATTTGAGTGCGAATGTTGGCAGATTATAGACCCTCTTTATTAATTAATTTTTTTGGTAATTTTTTTTAATTAAATAAATTGATGTAATATATTGCCAAAGCAATCCCTATTATAGAAATTAATTTGATTAAAATTACAATAGATGTTAGTATGAGATTATTTATGCAATTTGTGCTCATCCCAAAGGAAGACACAATTTGGCCAAATAATAACATGCTTGTGATGATAAATATGTGACAATTATAAAGTTACAATCATGTGAATAATAGTCGGTCCAAAGAAAGACTATTATTTGACAGAATTAATTGTTAATATTTGATTGTTGCATTGAGAGTACCACTAACATGTTAATTTGTATGTCCAAAGACAAAGAATTAATGTTGTGCTCGGTATCTTGTAATGGGTCTATTATGTAAATAATTTGCATGTTTTATTTATTTTATTTTACTTTGTGAGCATGTAATTAAATTAATTTTTTTTATCTATGTTCTATTACAGTTGCTGTTGCTAGTGGTGTTAACTTATCTGCTCAAATTAATTGTATACCCATGCTTAATGGGACAAACTTTAAGGCCTGGAAGGAAGCAGTTGAGATAATTCTTGGCTGCATGGATCTTGATCTTGCACTTCTGGCTGAGAAACCCACTCCAACTTCGGAAAACCCGAATGAGGATAAGGTTGAAAAGTGGGAATGCTCAAATCGAATGTGTTTGATGATCATGAAGCGATCTGTTCTAGAAGTTTTGAGGGGCTTTATATCTGAGAGCCAAAATGCTAAAGGTTTCCTTGATGCTATTGAGCAGTATTTCACCAGTAATGAGAAAGTTGATGCAAGCAATTTGCTTGCTAAACTTATCTCTATGAGATACAAAGGTAAAGGAAACATAAGGGAGTACATTATGGAAATGTCTAATCTCGCGTCAAAACTAAAAGCACTAAAGTTAGAGTTGTCTGATGACTTGCTCGTGCATCTAGTTTTGATTTCCCTTCCTACACACTTTGGACAATTCAAGGTGATTTATAATACTCAGAAAGATAAATGGACCTTGAATGAATTGATTTCTCACTGTGTGCAAGAGGAGGAAAGGCAACTAAGAGAAAAGACTGAAAGTGCTCATTTAGCGTCAAGCTCTCAGAATAGGAAGAGAAAGAATAATAAGGATGATGTAGAAAGGACTTCTCAACTAAAGAAAGTCAAAAAGGATGAGAACACACCTACTTGCTTCTTCTGCAAGAAGCCTGGGCACATGAAGAAAGAATGTCCCAAGTACGCCTCTTGGCGTGTAAAGAAAGGTAATTTTCTCTCTTTTGTTTGTTCTGAAGTTAATTTAGCTTTTGTACCACGTGATACTTGGTGGGTAGATTCTGGTGCTACTACTCACATTAGTGTATCCATGCAGGGTTGCCTTTGGAGCCGACCGCCAAGTGATAATGAAAGATTTATATATGTGGGTGATGGCAACAAGGTCACAGTGGAGGCTATTGGAACATTTAGATTACAGTTAAAAACTGGATTTCATTTGGATTTATTTGAGACTTTTGTTGTACCGTCTTTTAGGCGGAATTTAATTTCTATTTCTAGTTTGGACAAATTTGGTTTTTCTTGTTCATTTGGAAATAATAAATTTAGCCTCTATCAAAATTCAAATGTTGTTGGTTCTGGTTCTTTAATTGATAATTTATACTTACTAGATGTAGTTAGTTCCAATAAAGAAAATTTTCACATTGATTCTCGTGGTACGAAGCGTAAAATAAATGAGAACTCAGCCACCTTATGGCATAAGCGTTTAGGCCATATCTCTAAACAGAGAATTCAGAGGCTTGTGTCGGATGAGATTCTTGAACCCTTTGACCTTTTAGACTTTGAAGTTTGTGTTGAATGTATTAAGGGTAAACAAACAAATTCTAGAAAATTAGGTGTCGAAAGGGCTAAGGACGTTTTGGAATTAATTCACACAGATATTTGTGGACCATTCCCTGTGGCATCTTGGAATGGGCAACAATATTTCATTACGTTCATAGATGATTATTCAAGGTACGGCTACGTATTTTTAATTCATGAGAAGTTTCAATCCCTAGATGTTTTCAAATCTTTTAAAGCTGAAGTTGAGCTTCAACTTGGAAAGAAAATTAAGGCCGTCAAATATGATTGTGGTGGTGAATATTATGGTAGATATGATGGATCAGGTGAACAACGTCCAGGGCCTTTTGCGCTTTTCCTAAGGGAATGTGGCATCGTTCCTCAATATACTATGCTTGGGAAACCAAACATGAACGGTGTTGCAGAACGTAGAAATAAGACTCTTAAGGATATGGTGAGAAGTATGATTAGTCATTCTTCTTTACCAGAGTTATTGTGGGGAGAAGCCCTTAAGATTGCAGTTTACATCCTAAATAGGGTACCAAGTAAAGCAGTTAACAAAACTTCTTATGAGCTATGGACGGGTAAAAGGCCAAGTATAAAGCATTTACACATTTGGGGTTGTCCGGCTGAAGCGCGTCCTTATAGGCCGCATGAAAGCAAGCTGGAGTCAAGGACTGTTAGCTGTTATTTTGTTGGTTATCCTGAATTCTCTCGGGGCTATAAATTTTACAATCTCACTACTAAATCATTCTTTGAGACGGGGAATGCAAGATTCCTTGAGGATGTTGAATTTGGGAAGGAAGAAAACATAAGAAATATTATCTTTGATGAAGAACCTGTCATTGACAGTGATCAAGTCCTCGTGCCTATTACTATTCCAGTACCTACCCCAGTAATAGGTCACAATCATGGAGTTATTCCTGACATTGTCCCAAGACAAGACAATATTGAGGTTCTCCCTCAAATACCTATAGAGCAAGCTCAACAACCTCAAGAAGTGTCATTAAGGAGATCCACTAGAGAAAGGAAAAGTGCAATTTCAGATGATTACATTATGTTTCTCCAAGAAAATGAGGATGGTATTGGTTTAACAGAGGATGATCCAATCAACTTCTGTCAAGCTATGCGCAGTTTTAACTCTTAAAAGTGGATTGATTCCATGAAGGATGAGAAGAAATCTATGCAAGACAACGATGTTCGGGATCTCGTTGAATTACCTGAAGGTGTGAAACCTATTGGTTGTAAATGGATATTTAAAACCAAGAGGGATTCAAAAGGTAATATCGAGAGATATAAGGCTCGTTTAGTTGCTAAAGGTTTCACTCAAAAGGAAGACATTGATTACAAAGAAACCTTTACCCAGTTTCTTCAAAGGATTTTTTTAGAATAATAATGGCACTCGTAGCTCATTATGATTTAGAGCTCCATCAGATGGATGTTAAAACTGCGTTTCTAAATGGTGACATTGAAGAAACGATTTATATGATGCAACCAGAAAATTTTGTGTCTAGTGACTCAAAGTCTATGGTATGCAAACTAAAGAAATCCATCTATGGTCTTAAACAAGCTTCTCGTCAATGGTATCACAAGTTCCATCAAGTTATTACCTCATATGGTTTTGAGGCAAATATAGTTGATGATTGTGTTTATCATAAGTTTAGTGGGAGTAAATATATATTCTTGGTGTTATATGTCGATGATATACTGCTTGCCAGCAGCGATATAGGCTTATTGCACGAAACCAAGAGATTTTTAACAAAGAATTTTGAAATGAAAGATCTTGGTGAAGCCTCTTTTGTATTAGGTATTAAGATACTAAGAGATCGTTCTCATGGTATCATAAGGTTATCACAAGAGAACTATATCGATAAAGTTTTAGATAGATTCGGCATGAAAGATAGTAAACCAGGAGATACCCCTATAGCCAAGGGAGACAAATTTAGCCTCAAACAATGCCCTAATAATGACCTTGAAAGAAATGAGATGCAAAAGATTCCCTATGCTTCAGCTGTGGGAAGTATAATATATGCTCAAGTTTGTACTCGTCCCGATATTGCATTTATAGTGGGAGTTTTGGGCAGATACTTAAGTAATCCTTGGATGCAACATTGGAAGGAAGTAAAGCGTGTAATGCGCTATTTGAATAGAAAAAAAGGATATATGCTCACTTATCAGAAGCCTGACAGTTTAGAGATCATTGGATACTCAGACTCTGATGTTGCCGGATGTCAAGATAGTAAACACTCCACATCTGGATACATCTTTATGTTGGTTGGAGGAGCTATCTCTTGGAAGTTTGTTAAACAGACTATTATAGCTTCTTCAACCATGGCTGCGGAGTTCATTGCTTGTTTTGAGGCATCCAACCATGGGATATGGCTGCGAAATTTTATCACTAATTTACGTGTGGTTGATGGCATTGAAAGGCCATTGAAAATCTATTGTGATAATAACTCTGCAGTTCTTTATTCCAATAACAATAGGAGTACAACCAAGTCAAAATTCATTGATATAAAGTTTCTGGTTGTTAAGGAAAGAGTTCAGAATCAGCAAATTTCTATAAAACATATAGGGATTAATTTTATGCTAGCTGATCCACTTACTAAGGGTTTGGTGCCTAAAGTCTTTCATGAGCACACTGCTCATATGGGTGTAATTCCTTATAGTACCTTAGTTTAGTGGGAGTCTCATTTATGTTGTGTCTTCTTTATTTTTAATTTTTCTACATATTTGTATTATTTGGATTTTCTACAGAAATAAAGTTGATAATTCTATTCTGAGCTTGTTTTGTGCAATATATATATATATGTTGCGTTTTGAATGGATCTCTATAAAGAATAAAGTTTGGACCAGTTGGAAATAGACATGACTGAGATCACGTTACATGTAATTTCCATGCCACTTATCCATATTTGATCTATGTCATTGAGTGCATACAATTGTGGTGATCATTGTGGTTTAGTCACATTAGATAATGATGAAAGTTGCAGTGGTTCCCTGTTATTGTATGAGATGGACCAGATTGTTTAAGGGGAGTCTAAAAGTAAATAACATACGATTTCGTGCTTAAAGAATTTTGTGATATAAATACTTAAATGAATATAAAGCCCAAGTGGGAGATTGTTAGAAATTTTATTTCTAATAATTATTGTGGGCTACATATATTATTTGTAGTATTTATATTAGTTATTTACATTTAGTTGGGGTCAATAAAAGTGATCTAATTTTAGTGAGCCTTTAGACTACCAACAAGAAAAAAACTGATATGGGCTCAAATAAGTGAAATCCAGATTTGGCCCGTTAGGGGTTAATGGGAACCCTAATAGGTTTAAAATCGTAAAGATGGTCATGGTCCCCAATATGCCAAATCAGAAACACACGTCTCTCTGTCTCCCCATCAGAAGAGTAACATCAAGTCTCATCAAAGAATCCAATGATTTGGCTAAGGAAGATTATTGCACCAAAAGATTATTCCGCTGCACCCTTTTGATCAACGTCAATGGATACAGGTACGTGTTATTAACATTAACTCTGTAATCTGAGACAACGGTTCTTAATATCGATTAATGGATAATTTCTATTTGGCTTAAGAAATTTATCCCAATAGAAGGAACAAGGGGGGGCATAAATATGGATTCTTCAGATTTAAGGGTGTTATGGATGATAAGAGGTTGGAGCAATAATTAGATAAGATACACATAGGGAGTACAGTCTAAAATGTATGTCAACATTCCAAGGTATAAGAGCGACTAATGGAGGAGAAATATAAGTAGTGTGAGAATAAAAGAAAGGTTATACCGAGAGCTGAATTTAGGAGGAATAAGGAAAAGATGACGTGCACAAGATAAAGGTCAAATCTCACTTTGGGTCGACCCATTTCGTGCAAGGATAAATCTTTTGGTGATGTAGTGGTAGAAGAAGGTTCTAGAGATGACGTGAGTGAGGAGATAGAGCTCGTTTGGGAGATAGAGCATACAAAGCATGATCAAATATAGTAGCAGCAATAAGGAGGGTCAATTTCTTATCTTGCACCAATATCAATGTCTCAAAGGTCAAGATTAGGAGAAGATGGGTGAAAAAAAAGGCAGGTTTCAAACCTCTAATGTGGAAGATATGGAGCAGATTAATCTTAGACATCAACATGAGCCAACAAATCGAATAATTCAAATGTCCAAAGGAACAAAGATCCAACACAACAAACAAAAAAAGCAAGCAAAAGGAAGGAGGTAAGACCGGTACTTCAAACTTTTAGCAATTCACTTATTGATAATAATATTAGAAATTACAATAATGTGCTTTGATGGAAGAACAAGGCAATTGAGGCAAAGAAACTATAGAAGTTGAGAGGGTGTCATTAGGGGGTAACTTATTCGGGGAATGAGAATGACATTTTAAAAAGGCTAGTCAATTTGGAGAAAAGGGATCAATAGGGAAACAGGAACCTAGCTGATAACGAGGGAGAGAATGAAGTTAATACATAAAAATCATGTCTTATAATATTAGGGGTTTGGGAGGCAAGGTTAAATGTAGGTATATTAGGAGGTTATTTTTGCAAGGAGGAGGTTCAAGTCTTATGTGTACAAGAGATGATGACGAGTGATATCAGTAAATCACTAAGTTAAATACTATGATTGGTAGTGTTGGATGTGAGTAGAGAGAAAAATCTCTGAATTGATAATGTTTGATGTGGTTTGAGTGGGTCGTACGTGAGGTGAAAGAAATGTCTTTACTTAAATTGGTGCCAGGCATTAATATAGTAATGGCATTAATGGAGTGATGCACATGACGTCAGACATGGACTAAATGACAACGAGCATGAGCGAGACAAAGTGCTCCCTGTCTCAATGGCATTGGGCGCAAGGTGTGTAACGCTAGACGTGGTTTGCTTTATGAAAACTTGTTGTTTGAATGATTATATGATGAACATAAATAAGTTAGATGAATTTATTGCATGTTTTATGTTGAAAGGTGTTGGTTCTATATATATTGATTTGAGATAATATATCTAGATGATTATAATTGTTGAATGTTAAGGCGATGATTTTGAGAGTGCTTAAGACATTTAGGCATGTGGTGTTGATTAACTTATAGAGTAAGAGATGTTTTTAAAGTTGGATATCCTATAGTATGAATATTGATGTGGTACTCTACAAACCTAGTTGTTGAAAAACTCTTCTTGAGTGGGCATTATCTCTTGGAGTGAGGTATTGAGTCTCTTTTAGGTACTTTGTTAATATTGGAATAAGGTATGGAGTTGAAAGTTAAAATCCTTAACTAATTACTAGAAAAGTGCACGGTATCGCGATGATAGTTAGCGAGTTGAATCCATAAGTGACTTGGTTAATGCATGTCAATGTCATGGTAGACTCATATCCAAGTTGTTATATCTAACAGTAGGACTAGATTTCCTAATTTAAGTGACGACATCCTAGAAATCATGTTGTAGGGATTGGTATCCCAATTGACAATTGATCTAGAAGGTGTAAAAAGATTGATTGGTTCGATAGAGTTAAACTACTTAAACTACTTATCTTTGTTATAGACGATTTTTGTAGGTGAATGTGTGACAATGCATGTAGTTGAGGCGTGTGCTTATAATGTATTGTTTTAATGTGTTCATGTGCTATGTGAATTGATTGTTGAATGACATTAAAGTGGTGAAATATGAAATATCATATGTTGCAAGTTGCTTACTTTTGTAAGATTGTTGAATTTCATGTTGAGATGTTTGTTGGTTGCTATGTTGTAGACCATGAGGTGATATGTGTATGGTTTACATGTTAGTCGGTAGTATGATGCTTTTATTTCTATACTTGTTGTATGTTCATTCTATTAAACATTAGTTTATCTTTACATATTTCTAATGATTGAACTTCGATGATTATGTTTACATGAGAGCATGACAAGCTTGGGCTAGAGACTTGGTGTCAGGTTTTGAGGCCATGCTATAGTTGATGGCAGAGTTGAGACTTTTAGGGCTACTCTAATGTGACTAGTGTAGTTGAATTGTCACACACACAAACACATATGCACACACACATTTATTTGTGTATATATTTAGGTATTGTTATATACAAAAATCTTAAGTAATTAGTTGTTTTGTCATTAGTCGTTGATTTAGTTTAGTGTAAGACCATGACAGTTCCTAACATTATAAGCTTAAACTAAAAGTTGAAAAATAAAAAACTTTTAAGTTGATTGATTATATTGAAAGTATTTGATAAAATTAGCTTAAAAGTTAGATAATGATAAATGTAAAACAACATAAGAAATATTTAATTATTTGAGATAAAAAATATTTTAAGTAAAGTAAAAATGTTAATAAGATTAATAGCTTATAAGTTAGTTTTATTATTTTCACTAGTGAAAGTAATTTATAAAAAAATTTAACTAACTTATGAAAATAAATTAAAAACTATACTAAAAAAAATCTACGTATTGAATAAGTTTACTTTGATGAAATTAAAAGTTTCTTATTTTGTCACACACTCTAATTCATATGTTTTTCATTTTTTTTGTGTGAAAAAAAATTAGAGGAAGATTATTTTGCATGCAAGCTGGAAGAAAAAAACATCGATCTCATTTAACGATTGTATTGAATATTGCTTTTATTATTCTTTTAATATCTTTCTCTTTAGAGATTCGGTACACATATATTCAATTCCATTTGTCATTATTATAATATTTCTTTTTATAATAAAATCTTTTTCTTTTATTTGGTTTAATTGTATTTTTGTCCATACTTTGATGGTGCAATGTTGGTCCCAAGTAATTTTATCTCTTTAAGTATTAATTGTGTGATTTTTATCTCTTAAGTTTTAATTGATTAATTTTAATATATTAAATATCTTAATTAAATTACATAAATTATAATTTTAATTCATATATCAAATGATATATATTTATTATTACTAATAAATAAAATTTATATATATCATTAGCTTTATAATATTATTGATTAATTAATATCACACTACAAAAAAAAAAATTGTCATGTGTAATGACACACACCTTATAGTAACATAATAGTTATCACTAAAAATCACTTTTACCTATATTGTAAATACAATATATGTTGGTAAATTGTTAAAAAAATTAAGTATATGGTATAATGACACATAATATATATTGTTAAATCTCATTCAAAATCAATACTAGTACTAAAATTATGTATAATTATCAAATAAATTATTATATACATATATTGTATTTATAGTGACACTTTTTGTATGTCATTATATATAATATTTCTTTTTTTTTTTTTTGTCTATAAGACATAGTCCTTGCAATGTTCCAAAGATGACAATTATAAATTAATATGCATTCTCATTTACTAACCAAATATTATGTAACATTTTTTGTAGTATCAATAGTATTATTGTTATATCCATAGATAAATTAACACAAAAATATAAACATATTAGATAAGATAAATACATTAAAAAAAATTGATTAGAAATATTGATACATCATATATCACTCATTAGCATTGTATCAACAAAAATCATTAGATTTTTAGATAGAGAAACTACAATCGCATAATTACGATATCTAATGAGAAACCAAATCTGATCAATTATCGATACTTGAAAGATAAAAATTGTTCAATTAAAATTTGAATAAATAAAATTCTACAACTATAAGGAATCAAAAGTCAAAGCACATTTAAGTGTTTTTTCCTTTTTGATAAATTTTTAACTCTATTAATAAATGCAATATATATTCATCCCTAATTAATGCTGGAAATATTTGTGTTTTCCACACACACATATATATATATATATATATATATATATATATATATATATATATAATACATATGTGTGTATGATATATTAATCTTGTGTAGTGTTCCATATACTGTGTGGTGAACATAATGTTGACAGTGTTGTATTATGCAGTGGCTTTGACGATAAGTGCATTCTTGGTAGTGCTGAAATGGAACAACATGAAGTACTCAAAGAAAGGAATGCCTCCTGGATCATTGGGTTTGCCTTTCATTGGTGAGACTCTCAAATTTCTCAAACATGGTCCAGATTTCATGAAAGGTCGCAAATCAAGGTACGTACCATACATTCATATTTCTTGTCAAAAATTTATATATTTATTATACATGATATATAGTTCCTAATCATATGATATTGTAAATGTCACTGTACAACATATTTTTCTTTTATTTATCATAAAATGGTAGGCTTTCCAAAGTATATTTGTTAAATTCTTTTATTTTCCTTTGATCAATCATTCTTTTTTATGTCCTTAATAAAATAGTTTTGCAGCGATTTTTTTTAAAATTATTTCTGGACACAATCTCAAGTGTTAATGTGAAAAATGGTGAAGGAATTTTAAGGCAACCAAAACAAAAATCATTTTGTTATTTTCTCCAATTTCGTTAGACATGAAGTAATTCATAGTTATTAACCATTGAAATTATTTGATGGACACAAACCCAGCCCTTATAATTTACTAAATTGTATGTATGTATTTCTTTTACAACAAGTATAAATTATAATTGAAAACAATTGAATTTTAAAATATAAAAACTTCATTTTCGACTGAAAAGGCAATGGTATCACAGTAATTATTTGATTCTTTTTCTTTCTGTCAACTTTTTCCCCTATTTTTTCGCAAACTGACAATTTTGAAATTACTTTTTTTCTTCATAGAATTGAAACTACCTTTTTATCTCTTTATTTAATCATAATTTAACTGAAACGTTTCATCTTTATCTTTTCAAATTTTTTTATTTTGCTATATTTAACTCATTAAATTTTTTTTATTTCATATACTTTTTTAGTTACGTTATT